CCACCTCAGATGCTACTGGGTGGCTGGGGGGGGCTGAGATGCCCAATTGGACAGGTTGCCATGATCCAGTTCTTGCGTATTCCTGGAGAACAGGATTAAGACTCAAATGGAGTCAAGTGCTGAACCATTTATTTTATACTTAAAACGTAAGGAAAAGGAGGGAGAAAAAGGATGAGAAAGAGAGAGAGAGAAAGAGAGATCACCACCGCTGCGAGTCTTGGGTCTGTTGTCACCTCAAGGTCCATTGGCACAGTGAGACTTGAGTCTGGGAGGAGCCCTGCCGGGTCCAGCGGGGGTGGCAGAAAGCAGAGCCACAGGAGAAGGTGCAGTCCACGAAGTCGTCCGGTTCTGAGAGTGAGTGAGGGCGGGCAGGCGAAGGCGAGTGAGTGGGAACCAGAGGAAAAAACAAAAGCCCCCAAGGCTCTCACAAATCACTTCTATTGGGCTGGAGCCACAGGTCCTGCACTCAGTTCCACTCCCTTATCCAGTTCTGGTCCAATCTGGTTAGGGTCCAATCTGGTTCCAGTCCACCTCCTGTCAGATCTGGTTCCAGTCCACTCTGTTTCTGGGCGAATCCAGTTCTGGTCCCTGATCTGGTTCCTGTCCAATCCAGTTCCGTCTAGCATCGGCTCTGCCCACCTCCCAGTTCCATTTTTTATACTGGTGCTGCCTATGCTTCAGCCCCACGTGACCACCCCAGGAACTGGGAGCACTGGGGACACTAGGGCAGCGGGCACTGCTCGTACTGGTCATACTGGTGCCATGGGTGTCAGCTGTACGGGTCATACTGGTGCGTATGATGCTGTCTGTACTCTTCATACCGGTGCCCTTAGCATCAGCTGTACTGGTCATACTGTTGCCCCTGTACTGGTCATACTGACACGGGCTGTACTAGTGGCCCTGACACCATCTATACTCGTCATACTGGTTCCCCTGCTTCTCCCAGTATTGGTCATACTGATGCACCTGCCACCAACTATACTGGTCATATTGGTCCCCCTGTACTGGCCATACTGGTGCCCCAAGCCAATCATGTATTAGCTTTAGGCACATGAAATAACCAATCATAATGATTGAGAGGGTCGCCTCTCGACATGGGCTGATCTCAGAAGAAAGGTTTTAGGTAGATAGAGACAAAAAGACAGAGATTGAACTGAATGAGAGAGTTGTCTGAGGAGACAATTAGACTGTGGAAAGAGCTGTTGGCTTTTAGTGCCTGAGGCTCAGAACAGCTGCAGAGGTGAGAGGTGTCTGAAGGAACAAAGAATACGGGGAGGAGAACAGTGGAGAATAATGGGAAGGGCCTTTGCCTGGACAGTCTGTGTCTGGAAATATGACTTTAGGGATGGTCCTTGTGACCTGGACAGATGAAAAGCAATGAAAAATGAGAGAAATTAAGGACATGGTCAGCTGCGGGTGCTGACATAGTCATGATTTTGCAGCAAGTTCGGACTGATGGGTGGTGGATTTTAGCAGCAATTCACACTGCCTTACTCGAGGGTGTCCAAAATTAAAATACAAGTGTCTGTATCTGCATGGAGATAACCCCAGACCATCCAAACCCACAGACAAAGAGAGTTGTTGCGATCCAGTGGAATCGATCACCAGCCCCACATGGAAAGCCAATGTGTCTGTTCAAAGCCATGGACAGGCAGAGAGGTGGGTGGGAGAGAGGCTGGAGGGGCTGCAGTGAAAATTCCTTCTTCTGCAGTTCAGAACAATGCTTTGGCATTCTCCATGGAATGTGCTGAGGGTAGTCAGGAGTCCCAGAGCAACCCCCTGCCAGGGCTGTGAGACTGCGCCCAGCTGTCCATGCTGTGGGCACAGGAATTCTAAATTCTTGTCCAAGTTTTTTTTTCACCTATTATAGGTACTATTCAGTGGGATGATGCCTTTCGTTTCAGGGGGGTAACCATACCCCTGATATCTTTGGGGCAGAGGTCAGCTGGGTAATCCAAGGGGTTTACAGTGCACAGGCTGGCACAAGAATTCTAAATTCTTGTCTAACTTTGTTTCCCCTGTTATAGCTACTATTGAATGGGGGTGATGCCGTTCAGTTCAGGGGGGTAACCATGCCCCTGATTTCCTTGTGGCAGAGGTCACCTGGGTAACCCCAAGAGTTTCCAGCGGGGCCATATGGAGTTATGACCCCTGCAGCTTAGCCCAGTTTGTAACTATGATTCCATGTGTCAAATATAAGGATGTTTCTTGCCAAGTTAAATCAAGGTGGCTTTTATGACTGCAAAGTCCCAGGTGGTCCAGGGCATTAGCAACTTATGTGCCAGGAGAAATAATCACTACGAGTCCCACAGTTGTCCCCTCTTTCCCACATGTCTCTCTGGAACATTTCATTACCCACATCACAGCAGGTTTGCACTGGCCTTTGCCAGCTCTGGGAATTTTGCAAGGAGGTGCTGGGACTTTTGACCTTCTTCCTCTGCTAAAGATGGTGGCTTGCTTTCCTCCCTTCCAGTTCTCTCTCCCACTGTCACTTGTGTTCCCTGTACCAATGCTAAACCAGGGTTGAACAGTTCGTGAGGATCCTTTTCCAGGAATGGTTTGTGGAACGTTATCCATTCCTTCTCTGGAGCATCTGTTGATGACCAGTCACACAGGTTCTGATGTCTGCTAATTCTGGTGGTCTGCGCCTGAATCTTAAGGTTGTTCTTAAGGCGGGAACCGCTGGGCAAAAAAAAGCCCCCCTCCCAAGTCTCTCTAATGCGCCTGCGCTTCCATCGTGTGTGTGGCATCACGGTTCCGCCATCTTGTGTGCATCATTCCCCGGCACTGCACATGAACAACCGTTGTTCATCCGGTCCACTGCACTACGCATGCGCTGCCATCTTGTGTTTGGCGTCCACCGTTATCGCCACACTGCGCCGCATCAACTGGCACAGCCTGGAAAAAAAGTTCTCTCCTTGGTACTTGTGCCAGGACTGGAGCTCCCAGTGCTCACCAGTTCCTTCCCAGGTACCCTCAAATCCCCTCAGATGTCCAGCAGCACCTCCCAGTCTTTCCAAATCCCCTCCCTCTGTCCCCCAGTATCTCCCAGTCCCCTCAAGTCCTCTCCTGGTCCCCTCACAGTACATCCCAGTATCTCTCAGCCTCTTCCCATTCCATCCCAGTGCCCACTGGTACCTCCCAGTCCCTCAAATCCTCTCCCAGTTCCCTCCCATTGCCCTCCAGTCGCTCCCACCCATGGATGCTGGGGGGAATGGGGGATCCCATGTGTGGATGGGGCCCCTCGGGAGGGTGCTGAGCAGCTCCTCACACTGCCGGGGGCGGGGGCCGCAGCTGTAGGGCGGCCAGCGGGAACACCCAAATATAGGAGACCCCCGAATTCCAGTCATCCCACCAAACTCTGATGCCTTCCACCTTCGAAATTTGGCACGTGGGGTACCCAAAGACACACCTTCCTAGTGCTCTCCTTGGGGGTCCACAGAGCCAGAGAGGGGAGGGTTCTCCAGGGAGGAAGGCCGTATGTCTTCCTCAGGGGGGACTTTTCACCCTTGGCACAAAGGGCTGAGTTGTCTGGTCCTTGCCTGTTGGCACATGGCTGTGGGGCTTCATGAGCAATTCAATTCCTGCTTCACACTTCTGCCAGACAGGGAGTTCCTGTTCTCTAATCTTCCAGGACACACTCTGTTGCTCAGCTATGCTTGTACAGCTGGGGTTTCTCGGCTTCAAGAGGATGGGGGCTCCAGCAGCTGCAAACGTCCCCT